CCCTCATTGAATTTTATATCGTATAAAGAATGGAAGGAGGAAGGAAGAAAAAAGGAGGAAGGGAGTGAGTGAGGAAAGGAGAGGATGGAAGGAGAAAGGAAGGAAGAGAGGGAAAGAGCAGAAGACGGATAAGGTGAAGGTAGATAAGCAAGAGGAATGAAGGAAGAAGTGAGGTGTCTCAAGGAGGGGGAAAACATTTAGTGACCAAAGTTACAATGGCATTGAAAAAAGTGACTGATGTCCATTTTTCACACTTAGTGACCTTGCGACCATTTTTCACACTTAGCGACCGTTGTAGCATACTCATGGTCACGTGATCAAAATTTTGTTTGGTAACAGATTCGTATTTATGATGGTTTCAGTGTCCTGGGGTGACCTTTTGACAAAATATAAAATTTTTAATCAAGCCCCCCCCCCTCCCCCCGGTCAATGGTGTCTCTCTTTACCAATCTGAAAATCTGGTCACCTTATATATTATAGAAGATTGGTTAATCCTATTACACAGTACTGCAGATTGTTAGCTAGATGCAGCAACCTCCTGAAGAAGGTATGTCTTTTTTCAGATACATATGGAGTAACATACCACAGCTGCTCTCTCAGCAGGAGAAAGAAAAGGTCTGGTCCTTTCAAAACTAGAAATTTAAGAGAAATTATAGTGTAAAGCAGGGGACACAGCCATGTTCGTTATACCCAACTGAATAATATTTGGAATTTCCCAGAAGCTGAGACAGTTAACTGAACCAGAGAACATTTGTTCAACACATGCTATTTCTTTAGAATTAGGTAGACAGTTAACCAGGAATCACACAAAGTTTCATTTTTATATTGTGTATTTTATATACTGTGTATTCTATATTTTTCTGGTGAACTAGGTATATATTTAGCTCTATCCAAACCTAAGGTTAGACATGAAGATATGATTTTTATTTTTGTAATCTGAAATAATTTGAATTCTGCTGCAATCTCTTTATTGACTTTTTAAAAAATAGTGCAGCAGATCATTGCCATCATGTGGTCTTAACAAAACACTGCATTTTATTTTGTGATTTCCTTTCAACTAATTTGCAAAGAGTTGCATGAGGTGCTTTGATATGAATAGCCCTGCAATTTATCTCCTTCAACAGAAGATTTTTGATTATTTAAAATTAAGGTTTAAATTTTTTATTTCTTTTAAATTTTTCCATAGTTAGAATATTTTTACAAGCAGTAAACAAAATCAGTCTTCCAAAAGGGAAGAGTTGAATCCTCTATCTATATGCCTATAAAGTGAGATAGAACTTTATAGAGCTTTTTTTTCAACTTCCATATACTGATTCCCTAATTGCCAGAAAGGCAGTACCTGTTGTGACCATACTACCTCTCTCATACACACTAAGGCATCTTATTGAAGACACCTTGGGGCAAAATAGCTGCAACTTGGTACAGGAGGTAAAACCAGATCTAAAGACCCAGAGGGCTTCTGGGACGGAAGGTTTGAAACCTCCATCCTTACATCATATGGAGTAAACTATATTATACTGACGAAGATGCATTGTGATTGACCTGGGATTCTTTAATATGAGAAGGACACTCTGAAAATAAAATATCTTGAAAAGTTGAGTTTCCACTGTTGAACAAATGGTTGGGTTGTGAAATAAAGTGATAAAAACAAGAAACAATGTTCTTAAATGTTCTTTAGTCTGAAGAAGAGACAGAATAAATGAAGAAGTAAGCTCTTTTGCTCCAAAGCAGTTCTCTGTTGCATTCGAGCATAATAGTCCACTTTATCAAATAATCTAAAGCTCACTATAGTACAAACCTTTCATATAATATATATAATATTTCAAAAAAATTATAAGTGACTATGCTATCCTTTACCTGGACTATAAATCAAATGTATAGTATGCATGCAAGTGTTTGTGAGCCACTGTTATAGAGTCTATGGCTTAGAACTGGGTAGAAATTGGAATAAGCTAAAAAAAAGTCTTTAATGGAATAGACTGCCTTGGTAGTAAGCAGATTCTTAACCAAAGCAAGAGATTTATGTCAGGGACAGTGTTAGAATATCTTGCACTGGTTTGGTTTAGATAATCCTCAACATGTTTGGAGATCTGAGCACCTCTCAAAATATTTTTGAACTAATATTTAGTGGATTATAAAAATTATTAGATACTTATTAACTGGATTTAATTAATTAAATTTAGAGTGAAGTATATGTTTTAACATGTCACTAAAATGCTAAGTGTGATCCTGAGTTCAAGAACAGTGGGATACCTTGATCTATAAAACAAGAAAGTCCAGTTGCCTTTTGAAAAAGCACCTTTGGAACAACTATGACCTGGATGACTAAAAATTTCAATAGACACCTGATCTACAGAATTACAATGGAAACATAGAATCTGCCACCTGAGATAGCATCTAGCAGGCAAAAATCCTCATCTTATGTTCGATACTAAGTGAAGGGCATTACTTCAGTAAATCTCTACATGTACCTCCCCCCCAAAAAAATTCTCCCTCTTTCATGCCTGCATTTTTGTTCACTGAATTTGTTTTTATTTAGGGCTCTGCAAAAAGAACTGACCGCACATAAAACTTATTTCAGTTCAAAACTAAATCTATACTATCTTCAGAAATAGTTAGTGAACTGCTAATATGACATTGTAATTATAATAATTTTCTCCATTCGATCTTTCAATTGTTTGTTCTTTGAAGTTTATATCGCTTAAAAAGACATTCCACAGTTATAAAGAAAATTTGAAGAATTGTAGACTGAGATACCTCCTTGTCTCCTTTTGACAAAAGATATTGAGACCAAAACATGAAACAGTGCCTTTTTATTATTATTATTATATTTTCCACTTGTGCTTTCAAGAGAACAGGGCTGGTAAACGTGAATCCACAGGCCAACTATCAGAAATTGTTCGGGATAGCTGATGGAAGCAGAGGAGATGTACATTTGTTTGTCAAGAATTCCAAGGATTTATAAAACACTACCTGGATCATGGATAACTGCAGATATGAGCAGAAGGGAGAAAAAGGAAAAAAAATAAAGCTTTTAATTATAATTGTCAGCAAGAAGCAGAAAGATAAATTACATGATCTTTGGACTTGAGAAATAAAACTGATAAAAGTTTTTCTGCCCAGTAAGAAGAGCTTTCATCTAAAAATAGAAGTTCAATCATGCAACTGATCCAGATGCAGATATACACCTAGAGAGCTACAGGATTACCTTAATCTATATTTTATCTTACAAAGAAGCCCAAATAGTGCTGAGATTTTTTTTCTGCGTGCATCCACATAAAACAACTACCAGTAAGTTTAAATGTGTGTGGTCATCACTTGGCCAAACACCTTACATCAGTGAGGGCGAAACTTTTTGACACCGAGTGCCCAAGCATGTGTACCAGAGTGCCAGAAACCCAAATACCAACTGGTCAGTGTGCATGGAGGTGCCGGCCACCTGCTCTTCGGGTTTCCAGCAAATGCACATGTGCCGGCTAGCTGGTCTTCGCGCACGCTGGAGTGCTGGCCAGCTGGTCTTCACATGAGATTCCCTTCACTCTTCATATTAGGTGCATCAAAAATGTATGCAATTCATCCTCCCCTATTCTGCCTGTTGCTCCGATTTGCTCCTTCTCATCTGATACCTAACAAAGTTATGCAACCGTCTGATCACATCAAACCTAAAAGTGGCAACCGTGTTCTTATCTACTTTTTCTGCTTAAAACACCTGCCAAACCAAGCTTCATATACTTTGTGTCCTTGAATCTTCTGTCATTTTTCCCCCTTATCATTCTGATCCCACAGTCCCTTCTTTGATTTCTATCTGGGCTTCCTGTCTCCTTCTGAGTCCAATGCAGACATTCAATGGCGCTAGTCTCCTATTCTCTCGACTCTTCTCTCCTGATATGTGCCTGGCCTTGGTGTGGCTGCTGCAGCTCTGCTGCCACAAGCAGTCCAAAAACCTGTTTCTTCTATCTGGCAAATGTGGCCTTAGCTATCTTTCCTAACTGGGCTAAGACCTTTAAAATGAAACAATTATTGTCCTGCCTTAAAAAGTAAACCACACATATTAAAAAGATGTGCAGCCTTTTCGAACAACAAAATACTTTTTAAATGAGGATGGGAGAAATAAGCAAACCAATGACAATTTAAACTCAGGTGAAGCAACTCTGCTTCAAATATTTTAAATCTTCCTGTGTAGAGCTATATTTTTCAAAGACATCAATGAAATAACCTACCTTCAAAATTTGCAAAAATGATGAGATTTCCATTTTTAAGAAAATTCTTCCGATACAATTCACTATATGGCAAGATGTAATGCCATCCCCATCCTGGGCCTATACGGGTCTTATAGAAAGGATCAAAAGTTCCAGTAATGTCGGCCTTATCCCAAAAAAGTTTGCCATCTGTCAAGCAAAATAAACAAACAATCATAAAAAACTGAAGTTTTTAATCAATATTTTATATATATAACCACCAGCATTTTTAGTAGTCTATATAAGATTCAAATAATCAGACATTTCCATCCAACTTGGAATTATCCAAGTAGCCTTGACTTCTGTAATACTATTTGAAGATACAGTTCCAAATACCTAACATTTTGTTTTCTTTTCAAGGGCAAACTACAAATACTTTTATACCTGATTTTTTTTATACTTTATTATGAATTTATCATAGGTTCTAGGGATTGTCTCAAATTTACCACCAATCCAAGAATTTGAAAAATTTCCAGATTGGATTTTACGCAGCAAATTAGAAATGGAATGAAAGGTATAAAATTCAGTAATTAATTCAATTGTACACAAAATTAGACCTGCTTCTTGATGTTAATGTAACCTTCCAAAACTACGGTAACAGTTCTGTCCTATTGATGCTACACTATCTTCAACAATTCTATGATTTTTAACCTATACAATTTGATTTTAATCTATCTAGTCATAGGGATTATTTCAGACCAGATTTTTAGCAGCTGTACAATTATGCTCCTAAGCAAGAGAGAAAGCAGTAAGTTGTCCACAACCTAAGAACCTGTTAGACTTACTGTAGCGCTGATTGGGATCTGTAACAAAACTCCGGCTTGCTGACATCCTTTGGGTGATGTCAGAATTTTGATCCACTATGGTGAATGTCACTTGTCTGTTCCCAGCTGGCCACTCCAATGCTCCATCATTCTGGCTACTACATAAAGAAAACATGATTCCTAGGTAATCTCCATTTGAGTTGTGTGCACCACGGGGATACAGACTGAGCACAAAGCAGTAGCCTTCAGAGTTATAAAACATAGGGCTTGGCAGATAATCTCCTTTTGAGGAACTCTTTAAAATGGAAGTGAAGTTTCTTATCTGCCAAACGCTGGTCGGACATTGCGTTTCAGTCAGAGTGACATCATCAATGTGAATTCCTCCTTTGGAATTCTGTGGGTCTCCTTTAAGGCCATGAAAAACATAGCGGAATTTGGTCTGGCTGCTGAATGGAATGTTTGCAAAGTTCCACTGCTTCTCTCCATCATCTGAAAGGGAAGAGGGGGAAATCTAGTATTTGATTCATTAACATATTCAACCCATTTTATGCT